AACTAAGAGTTGTCCAGGAAAAGGGGTAGCATATCTGGGATCCTCGTTAAATTCCCCATCGATTGATGCATTCCGTTTTCTTGTAAACCAGCCCCAGGAAAAGTGACCTGTTTTGCTATGAAAGAATCTATATGCTCACCATCTCAAACTCGTCCTATCTCACGTTTACACGCCTTCTTAAAAATTGATGAAAAACTTTTTTTAACCAGGTTTCGTGAAGTTCTACGAAGAAGAGGAATTTTACCAGATACACAGTCAGATTTTAGACCAGGTTTTCGACTACAGACTAGAGTTCTTCTCTTCTTGGAGCACATTTCTGCATTGATGGCAAATAGTTCTCCTGTTGCCACCGTGTCTGTAGATTTCAAGTCTGCTTTTGACCAGTTTTGGCTTGAAGGCTGTCTCGGTAAACTACGTAGAATGGGAATATCCAGAGCATACTTATTATGGATAAAGCTTGGCTCGAAAATAGAAGAGCGTTCATAGAGATGAACGGAAAGAAATCACGCTGGTTTCCAATTAAAAGAGGCGGTTCACAGGGATCGATTTTTACGCCGACCCTCTTTATAACGTATCACGCAGACATGGGAGATTTCCTAAGTTACTGTAGTTCCTTCTTTTTGCGGACGATTTAGCGGCAGTCTTAGCAGGTAGAATTGGAATAAAATATACGAAACAATGTATAGATTTGGAAAAACGACTCAAAAAATTTCTCGAATTGCTGGAAATGTAATCGATCATAAATTTGCAACCAATAAATTACATCAAAACTGAAGCTATTTGGTCAGCTAGGGCTATTGAACGTATTATGTGATATGCATAGTGTAAACAAATTTGTTCTTCTCTTATATTGAGTTGAAGAAAAAAGTCCTTGTATGTGCATGTTGTGTGGTTTTGTTTTCTTATTTTGATACATAACATACATATACAACGACTTTTTTAACCCTTTTCGGCCGGCTACCAGAAACAAAGTAGCAAACAAATCTTCTCGGCGAAGAAGAGAGTGTAAATTTCTATTATAACATTTTTCAGCTTAAACAATTTTTTTTCTTTCAGAGAGAGGAAAGAACAAATCACGTTACATACCAAAAGAAAGTCATAAGTGATTGAAAATATGACGTGTTTAAAATACATTCTTGCCAACGATCATCAAACTGTTCTGCACAAGCGTGCATTATTAGCTCGCGTAATAACAATAGCTGTCGTTCATCATCGACACCTTGCTATGACTATCGTACAATCGGTAATGTCAGTTACTGTGCGCCCGCCAGTCTGTGTTCCATCCTCGTACCGTGTGATAACATTACGGGTGGATGTGCATCAAGCACAACTGTGTGTATTATCAACTCATGCTGTTTGCCACAGACCGTGTGTTTGCCGATGGCTTGGACCAGTTTGTGCTCTTCAGGAAATGACACAAGTGAGTGTATCATTATGATCTTTGTTTCTATAGATATCTTTCCTTCTATAATCCGGTGTTCTCATACAGTACAAGCCAAACTTATAGGTTCACCTTTATTTTTAATTTTTCGCCTCGACCATAATAGCTAGAACAAATGTGAAAACAAACAACTGAAAGAGTTTATAATCAGGGTGCACATGAAAATGCCATTGAAATTTCTGCAAACCAGGTTTGTGGAAAACCAAGATTTTATAAAATCCCAAAAAATCAAGTCCCACGATTCCAGCGGAAACTTTTTGTAAATAGCCTATTCATGTAGAGCAAACATTTCTGAACAAAACTTGACGTCGCGGAACTCTCTACGATCTGTTTTCATCGAACTGCCTTCAATTTACGAAAGGCCCTCGGTCATTTTCACTATCATTTTTGCTCTGTTTGTAGCGATTTTGCTGATTGTGACGTGGATAAGCCTTTCGTTCGTATACCGGTGGCCGGTACCGTTATTGCATTTTTGATATCGGTTACACCCCTGCTTCAACGTCATCTACACCACAAAAAATAACCGTTTTCGTCGATTATCTGATCCTTTACGATTATCAAGCGGTGTTGGAATGGCTATTAGCATAGGTGATATTTTATTACCAGCATTGAAATTAACCGATAGTAATGCTACACAATAGACAGATCTAGAACCAGGACAAATATTCTATGTACCTGTTGAAGTAAAATTAGATCCGCCCTCATCTAATGATAATAATGTTAGTGTTCGTATATTTATTAGTGAATGTGAATTGGTTGATGTATGGTTACGTGGTTATGAGGCTTTTTGGGCTTTGTTATATATATTTGGATTCAGCTCAACCAGCTGATCACGAATAATATCTTCCGAGCTTCAAAAAACCATTTCTTTATAGAGAAAAACTCAAATTACTGAGATGGCCTCAACAATACAAAAACCCGTCTTCTATGATAAAATTGACTTTTTGAGGTTGTATTGTAAGACGAAAGGTTCGAACAATATTTTGCTGAATCAGCATTAAAAATTGATTAGAAAAAGGTTTTCAGTTCATTTCAGACGTAAACACTCGTCCACCAAGGACGTCCGTCTATCCTATCGATTTAGGCTATTGTGAGATCCAATATTCATACTGAGCATGTATATATCTTTCTTCTTTGAGGCTTTGTGTTCCCGCACTGATCCCGCTTCTTGACATTTCCAAGCTGAGCGCATCTTTGTTCAGCGAAAAATATTGAAAAAGTGATAGACAAGGTCTATCTCTATCTTTCTTGAAATACAACGATACTACTCAGTTTTTTGCAGCCAGACTTGATGACGACTTCTCTCTCATTCATAAAAAACATCCAGGTAAAAAAATAGTTGTTTGTGACCCCCTCGCTTCTGCCCAGTTAGCTGATCCTGATACCTCTCCATCTGAATGTCTTTTAAAATGACTATTTTTGATTGTCATTGAGCAGCAAAGGCGATAATACGTTTGTGGATGCTACTTCAACACAGGATACTGCTCAACGCAAGGAAGTTGCGCCCTTTATCATGCTTGGAAGCTCCTCGTGTCAGATAGTAACCACATACTATCAGGCCCTGAGTATAATTCATAGTCCCTTCTTTATCTGAATATTTGGAGAGGTCTGTTAAGAAAGATGCAAAAACGAACTTTAGACGGAACTCTTCACAAGTATGCACTTATGAATGTCTTTTAAAAGAACTAATTTGGATCCAAATTTCTGACCTAGAACCACCTTTGCTCAAGTGTCAATTAAGGGACATAGTTCCTGCTACTAATCTCTCCATATTCTAGCATAGTGTTCTGAATGAGTCAGTCTTCGTTGATGAATTGTGTGCTGCTTCTTGAATGTCCAGACAGACGGACAGCTAGACATACAAACATTTTTTCCGTGATATTTACTTTTCTTTTAGATGATTTATATTTCAAAATATATTTCTGCTTCGTTCTATAAGCTGTCTTGCCAATGGATCAACCCAAAGCTCTGACAATGAAGTATTTGCTCGTGATACCGTTGGTTCTCGTGGGCGTACTTCTACATATGCTATTGTCAGCAAATTCTACGATAGATGACCGTCCTGCATACAGAGATTACTTTTACGTTGGTGGCGAGTATGTGTTTGATGACTCCTCCAATCGAACCTTCATGGTTGGCCAAATGTATGTTGAACACCTGATTCCTGCGAATGGCGTTGAACAACCCTATCCTTTGATTCTGATCCATGGAAAAGGTATGACAGGCACCAACTGGCTCAACACACCCGATGGGAGACCGGGCTGGGCTTCATACTTTCTTGAACAAGGCTACGAGATCTATATTGTTGATCAACCTGCTCGTGGTCGATCGATGTGGCTCCCCAACTTCGATGCTCCCTTGAGTGCATTCCCAGTTGAGATTATCGAAGAACGTTTCACAGCTACTGCATTTTACAATCTCTGGCCTCAGGCGACGTTGCATACTCAATGGCCTGGTGAGAATGATACTAGCAAGGGTCGCCAAGGTGATTCAGTATTTGATGCCTTCTATGCCTCCATCACAGAATTCATTGCGAGCGAGAACGACACTCAGATCAAGATGCAAAAGGCTGGTGCAGTATTATTGGACAAGATTGGCGCCGCTGTGGTGCTGACACATTCACAAAGCGGGAGTTGTGGGTGGTTGATTGCCGATGCAAGACCGGATCTCGTCAAGGGCATTGTGGCGATCGAACCAGTAGGTCCTCCTTTTAGAGACAGTGTCTTCAAACATGGCTCGATTCGTCCTTGGGGATTAACCGATATCCCATTGACGTATAATCCCGCTGCTAACACCTCTTTCGACCTGTTAACCGTTGAAGTCCCAGCAACAAGTGAGAATCTCACTTCTTGCATCGTCCAGCGAGAACCTGCCCGTATTCTTTTCAATCTCATTCGAATTCCTGTTTTAATCGAGACCTCCGAGTCATCTTACCACGCTGTCTACGATCATTGCACGGTCGACTTCCTTCGGCAAGCGGGTGTGAAAGTTGACTTTATTCGACTTGAAGACATTGGGATCTATGGAAATGGTCACATGCAGATGATGGAGAAAAATAATTTACTCATTGCTGAAGCTCTTCATCAGTGGATGATGCGTAATATCAAATGAATAACGAGATGCCATTGAGCGAACAAAATTTTAACTCAAGACTCGGACTTCGACATGAAATAGTCATGTGTTAGAAAACAAATGTTCAAGCTTCGATTGTGGATGCTCAGGGGTATACTATAAAGCATATGAGATTTTTTATTGTTTACTGCTATTTCCATGTATTTTTTTGAAGAGTAAAATAGAAGTGGTGCTCGAGCCAATTGATTGACTTGAAACACACGAACAGCACTACTTGCATCCATTCTGAGCGAAAGCTACAACGGAAGAGAGAAAAGAAACAATGGTCCAGCACGCGATTACCTATCTCAGGTTAGTGCAGGAAAAGTGAGCACATTTTTGACAGTCTTTGTCAAGCTTTTGTCCAGAAGTCGGATTTGTGGAGGATGAATTCGGCAATGTAATAATTTTTATCTAGAAAATCTCCAAAATGTGTCTCATACATCTAACTTTTATATATGACAAGCTTCCTTTTCGATCGCATTGATCAGCAGTCACTCGACGTCTTTGTTTGGCTGTAATAATCACTGTTCGAACGAGAGGAAGAAAATTTTGATTAGGTTGCATGCCGGCACAGACATCTGAGCATTCCGAGAGAAGTAAGAGGTTCGCGCCACAGTAGGCAACCATGCAATGTTCTGAACAACCTCTTCAAAAATCCTAACAGTGTTTTTATCAAATTCAGCATCAGGTGTTAGAGTCGAAATGCCTATCAACAAAACCGGCATTTTCAACTTTTGTATATATATATATTCTGCTTCATACCAAAACATAAGAACCGTAAAAAAGAAAAAGAACAACGAAATACTAATACTAATAAATTTAATATTTGTTCATTTGATGTCAAACATATCTTCACGACCTTATGTTGTTGTTTTATCTTTGGTATTGTCTGTAATGTATTATCTTCAATGGTTAAATCAACACCATATCCAGTACGTTGTGCTCGATCTAACCCACCAGCTATTTGTTTATGTTTTGCTGTATCTTCCGACTGTGTCTCTCCTAACATTTTTGCTCCTAGCAAGAGATCGTACTGTTCAGACTTATGCATACTTTCTTCGGGGTTTTCGCTGAATATTACATATATTAATGTGGGTTGATATGTGTGTGAATGCAAACGAAGGATAAGATGAAGTGTCGAGCTTTCTAGAATATTACAATCGCTTAGTGTTCATTCAAACTCCGGTTGGACTTCTTTTAACAGTTCTTTTTCAGTTGATAACTTGGAAAATTATTTGGCATCTTCCTAGAATATTTGAGAACTGGACGATTATTATTGCCTAATAGCGAAGATAGTGTATTACGACAGAGCTTAATGACTGAAGCCGACTTTTACCATTTGAAAAAATTGCAACAGCTATTATCAGAAAATAAAGAAAGGGGTGAGACATAAGAAGACTCAATCACAATAAAAGACCCTCTTGAACTCACTTTGTAAATTGTATAAAAGATCTCGCTATTTTTCAGTTTTTACTTGTAAGTCTTGCAAAATTAAAAATAAGTATTTTCTATTGAGAACCGATTCCTTTTCTTACTAAAATACGCATAAATGTGTGCATGGAGAATACAGAAGGGTCATTCTATGCATGTGTTAAGATGACAAAATGTATTCGTTTTCTTTCATTGATCATCTGCTATAAAAAACAGAATATATGTGTCCAGAATTGTATGAAGTTGAATAAAAGAAAACAAGATCTATGACGAAACGCGGGACGATGATGATACTAGAACTTCACGACGCTTACATGATTGACATCGATGATAGTTAGAAGCATATACACGCTTATATGTATATGAACGCATGAATTTCTGAGTTGCTAACTTGATATATACACAAACATATATGTATATGAGCACATCAGTTTCTGAGCTCTTGCCTTCATATATATGAGTGATTCTGATAAAAATAGTACTGTTTTTGTGAAAAAATTTGACTGAAACAAAAGGTAAACACCTAGGTTTTTTCTTATTATCTGTCGATAGTGTGTACCTGGGGATATCACAAAACACGGGTTAGCAAACTACCACTACTTTGTTTTCCAGCTTTGAAAAACATTTTTCTATTATCGGCGTCAAAACACCGTGCACTTGGTTGTGTTTTGAATATCTTTTGATAGAAAAGAGCTAGAGAGCCCCAATTCTCACCAGTGGAAAGAGGAAACTTGGGGGCATATTCTCATAACAGTTTTCTGAAACAGGTTTTCTAAGAGATTTTTGGAAAACTATGCCGTCTGTAAACATTTTCCAGTAGGATTGTATTGCTTTTTTCTCATGAACTGATAGCCTGGAAAAAACGTATGCGCTTTGGGTAATCGGCCATGCTGAGTTTCGTGGCAATATTTGTTTTTCTAAACAGTTTCAAAAACTTAGTGAAAACGTACATTAGGTGAAATATCCCATTTCTGCCTATTTTTGAGTAAAATTCAAAAATTCATAACTCAGTCATGATCAATCCAAGTTACGTCAGAATGTCAAGATGTACTCTATTTTACCTGCTTAATACTATGCAGTTTAAAAGAAGCGTTA